TAAAAACGCGAAAATCTCAGCACAGGGCGGTAGGTGCATTGTTAACCCAGGCAGCGTTGAACGTGTTAAAGTGCGACCCGGTAAAAATACAGCTGAAGGAAAATGCTGTTCTATACAGTATTAACACTGCCCGCAGAGTGCCATTTTTGATACTGTCCAAGGTCAAGCAGAAGCTGGAATATATGGTGAGCGTTGGGGTCATCGAACCAGTTACTGAGCCGACAGACTGGTGCGCCCCTATGGTTCCTGCTGTTAAACGCAATGGGAATATACGCATCTGCGTGGATTTGAAGAAACTGAATGAATCGGTGCGTCGGGAGTGATTCATACTGCGATGATATAATCCCTAAGCTGGTAGGAGCACGTGTGTTTTCGAAGTTGGATGCATCGAGTGGGTTTTATCAAATGCCACTAGACCCTGAGAGTTCAAGATACACCACATTCATCACACCGTTTGGGCGGTACTGTTTTCGCCGTGTCCCATTCGGGATTACATCGATCAGCACCAGAGGTGTTCCAACGTAAGATGACGGAGCTGCTGCAGGGACAGGATGGTGCTATTGCGATGATGGATGACATATTAGTGTATGGGAACACACTCGAAGAACATGACCGACGACTTAAGAATGTCTTGGATCGGATACGTGAGTCGGGACTGAAACTCAACAGGGAGAAATGCAAGTTCCGACAGCCAGAGCTAACGTACTTTGGTCATCATATCTCAGAAGAAGGGATAAGCCCAGACCAAGGAAAAGTAAAAGCAGTTGTGGGTATCGCCGCATGCACCACGAGATGTAGCAGGTGTTAGACGGTTTATAGACATGGTACGGGTAAAGTTTGACAGGGAGAAGGGATGGAAAACACGGGGAGTGGTTGTGAGTCAAGCGACTACCCCACGATCATACATAGTGACTACCGATGGTTCGGCAACAATGCGCCAAAATCGAAGACATCTGAAGGTCAGCCTTGGTGATGATGTGGCAGTTCCTGTGGAATCCCAGGATACACCAATGTTAGAGACAGTGCCATCTTCTGGTGAACGAACTGAGACTCCAGAAGATAATGCACACGAGATGGATGTGGAATCACATTCACCCGGTCCACGGACAAGCGGTCGGGTAGTGCGCAAGCCGTTGCGTTTTCGGGATGATATTGATAAACGATTATTGGTAGCGAGTAGTGTGGTTAAAGTAACCAGTGCTTTGTGGAAATTTTAATGAGTTAATGCATAGTGAAGTATTGCGTGACCAGGGAGAAAGAAACGGTTGTATTATTATGTATTATTCGATTCTCAGATATGTTTCAGAAAATGTTCTACATTCAGTTGAGTAACAGACAATCTCAAAAGGAGGGAGATGTCACGATACTATTCGGTACTATATATGAGTAATATAGTGTTAGAGCCACCCGGGAAGGTTCTTAGAATCAAAACTGAAACCGACTTGTTATTCATGATCTGTTTGTGTTATTGAGTGGCTTGTTATATAAATGTGCTCTGTTCATTAAAAGATATATAGTTCGTGGTATTGTAGGCCCGTGAGATCTCCGACAAACACTATTTCTCACACCGCCTAGGTGATTAACGAAACTGACAGAGGACAGCTCTGCTGACCATCAACAACATACCTACGGGCAATAAATAAATCAGTATTGTCGCAAGATGGTCAATAAACAGAGGCGACCCCGTACGGGCCGTCAGATCCGACGTATTACCCATGCCGACGTATTACCGGTGAAGCCGTGTTACATGTGAAGCCATGTCTATGGTGAGAAGTCCAGCCATCATGGCACCGTACAATAGAAAGCATAGAGGTGCCTACTGTGCTTCATTTAATTGTAACAATCAATGGTCAGGAACAAACAATGTTTACTTTTATCGTTTTCCAAAGGACCCTGAAAGGTATGATAATAACTACACAGTTCCACAAAACCATTTGAGAGGTAGTTCGTGTTCTATGCCTATGGCATGTAAAGTACAGTACTAACACACAGTCACAGTGTAGCGATGTTATCAAGAGCTAATAATACCTTATTAGCTCTTGATGTTATGCAGATCATCACTCTCCCCTTGTATACTCTGTGTGGATCATGTTTTCAGTCATATAGTTTTCAACATACTTGATCTATCTACCACTGTGCACTGATATTTTGTTTAATTTGTTTTACCCATACATTGCGCTCAGCGAATTCATTTATTGAGCTCTGCTGCGGTACTGTGTGGAAAATACCCTGTGCTACCCTTACTACCACAGATAAAGGAACTTAGACAAATGTATACAAATAATTTCACATTGTTTGTAAAAATATTCAGTTATTGTGACTCTTTGAGTGAGTTATTGATCAACAATATCAGATCTATGGGGCAGGAGGCACAACGCCCCCTATTTTTTGACCAGCCATTTACATACAAGTGGGCGGCCTTGTCGGTCTGCGCCCTCTTAATTTTTTTTATCAAAGCTAGACTCGGAATCGGACTCGGGTGGTGTGGAATCAAACTCGGACTCAGGTGGTGCAGACACGGCCGTGGCCTCGGAGGCTATGGACTGGGACTCTACTACAACACTGGTACTACTGCGTGTACATATGATATACTGTTGCTCAATATGTTGACTTTAACCGCGTATATTATCCGTTTATCGACAGTGTCTCGTCGTCGATCTCCACCGGACATGCTAGGCGGCTGAGGGTCAACCACGGCTGCTGATGACTCGTGCTGCGGACGGAGCATTCCCAAGTCCCGAGGTGTTTAGCAACCAAGCCTACACCAACCCAAACTCCAGCGACAAGTTTCTCCGGACACCGTGCGTCGTTGGGAATGCCGCGAGAACTGTTAGTGTTACACTTTTATGTTTTATGCATTTCGGCAGCGATACCGCTCTTGTATGTGAAACAGTTCCGAGCCTCCAGCCTTTGTTAAAGTAATTATTACGAGAGTTTTCCAGTGTTTTCACCACTTTCATGATACCTACCGTTATTGCTTGAGTAGGCAACTCGTCTAGAGTAACGATAAAATGTCTAGAACCTTCGTATTCACCAAAAACATGCAATTTTCGAACTAGTTTGGTAAACAATCGTGTGCTGTAATCTTGAAACCGGTAGTCTTGGACTAGCTAGTAGCGCCGCAGCCTATCTGCCATAGACATAGTACAGTCTCTCTCAAATGCAGTTGTTTTCAATTTATCACCGACAATTTACAAGATTACCAAGTCTGCCATTATCGCGACA